ATATATGTGTGTGTGTGTTTGTGGTATCTACAGTTAGACAAGTTTATCAACCGAATTGCCTAACTGTAGATATCACAATGCTGGCCCCATTGGGTGCCATCGGCGTGATACTGTGAGTCGCTGCATGCTGTGCGGCATATTGCCTTGGACCATATATCTTTGTGCCTTATCCGTGACCCCACTCGGCCTCTCCTGTAACAGGTAGTAGACCTATCCACTTCCATGCCTCTCACAACTTTGTTTTGTGTATGACATCGATATTAACGCACTCAAAAAGACATCACCCTATAACACTAAAACCGTGAAACCTTGAACCCCTAACGCTTGCCTTGGGTGTGTTGACCTGTGAGCAGTACCATGTGCGCATCACTTCTGAAGGGGCTGTGTCAATGTTAATTGATGATCATATAATACCTTATTTCTGCCGCTTATCAAAGGACATCCCGGACATTAGGCAAAATATAGCTTGTGAACAAATAAAGACACATGAAACCCTAAACCTCGGACCCTAAACCCTAAAAACATACAGAATCACAGGCAGCAGCCGATGTCGCCGTGAAATCAGGCGCTATTGGAGGAGTGAAATGGGGTCGTCGCAGCATCAGGAGCAGTAACACTCGCGCATTTTAATTGGTATTGTTATATATATATATATATATATATCACACTATGATGTTTTCGTTTCAAATGACACATCTGAATGGTATTGTAATATATAAGTATCACACTATGATGTTATTGTTTTACATGACGCATTTTAATGGTAGGTTTTATTTAAATATCACACTATGGTGCTATTGTATCATATAACACATTTTGATGGTATGGATGTATATAGAAAACACATTATGATGCTATTGTTTTACATGATAAATTCTAATGGTGTAAATGTATATAAATATCGCACGATGGTGTTATGGTTTCATATGACACATTTTAATCGTATGGTTGTAGATAGATAACACATTATGGTGTTATTGTTTCATATGACACATTTTAATCATATGGTTTTATATGGAGAAACACTATGATGTTATTGATGTACGTGACACATTTTAATGGTATGGTTATGTATAGATAACACACTATGGTTTTACATGACTCATGTTAATGATTGGTTTTATACGAATATCAAACTTTGTTGTTATTGTTTTATATGGCACATTTTAATGGTTTAGTTTTAGAAAACACAATATGGTGTTTTAGTTTCACTGACACATTTTAATGGTATGATTTTATATAGGTACCATACTACGGTGTTATTGTTTTATATTACACATCTCAATGGTATTTCTATATATACGTAACACATTACGATGTCGTTGTTTCATATGACACATTTTTAATGGTATGGTTTTATATATATTACATACTATGGTGTTCTTGTTTCGTATGGCATATTGTAATGGGAAGGTTATATATAGATAACACAACAGTGAAGTTGTTTCATATGGCATATTTCAATGGTATGGTTTTATATAGATAATACTCTATGGTGTTTTTGTTTCATATGACATATTCAAATGGTAACCGAACTCAGCGCGTTTGCGAATATTCTGCGGTCGTATCGTGTGTCCAATACAATTAATCGAATTATGTTTGAAACCCCCCCCCCCCAAAAAAAAACTCTAAATCTGAAACAAGAAAATCTCTAAAACACCGAAACCCAAAAAGTCTAAAACCTTGAAAGCCCAAAAGTATAGGCCTCCTACCAAGTTCATCTGCGTGAGTGCATGACACAGATACGCACATTCAATTCTCATGAGACAATCACTCAATGGGACATCCCCCACAACTCAATATAAAAACCAATCGATTAAACAACACGCTAAACGCAGCTCAATTAGATGTCGTGCTAAACGAAGCGCAATTTAATGATGCACTAAATGTAGCTCAATTAAATGACACGCTAAACGTAGCTCAATTAAATGACACGCTAAACGTAGCTCAATTAAATGACACGCTAAACGAAGCGCAATTGAATAACACGCTAAACGTAGCTCAATTAAATAACACGCTAAACGTAGCTCAATTAAATGACACGCTAAACGTAGCTCAATTGAATAACACGCTAAACGTAGCTCAATTAAATATCACGCTAAACGTAGCTCAATCAAATCACACGCTAAACGATGCTCAATTAAATAACACGCTAATCATAGCTCAATCAAATGACACGCTAAACGAAGCGCAATTAAATAAAACGCTAATCGTAGCTCAATTAAATGACACGCTAAACGTAGCTCAATCAAATGACACGCTAAACGTAGCTCGATTAAATGACACGCTAAATATAGCTCGATTAAATGGCACGCTAGGGTTTTAGCTAAACCCTAAATGTCATGCTCATCACATTCACTTCTCTACTCCCAGTGCCCACAATCCGTCAGGTCACTATCCCCGGAAAAGTGTTCTTGGTTTTAGGTGAGTCTATAAACCGATGGCTTACAGCTGTGTCTATAGCTATAAACGTTTCATTGGTTTACTGCTCACTGCTATGTGTCTATAGCTAAACATTTTCGATTGCTTGAGACCTTTTAACGCTTACAACCATGTGTGTCATGGTCTTTCTTTTGTTGTAGGCTGTTCCAGGGGGTTGTCTTATTGTATTATTGATTAGTTGTATGGTATTGTTAATTGGTCTGTATTGTATTGTTGATTAAATTGTATTATATTGTTGATTAAATTGTATAATATTGTCGATTAGTTTGTATTGTATTGTTGATTAGTTTGTATCGTATTTTTGATTAGTGTGTATTGTATTGTTGATAAGTTTGTATTGTATTGTTGATTTAGGGGTACCCTACTATATTACACACTACATATGTATA